TTTCATCATAGAAAGTCTTTTTTTTTTAAGATTTATTTATTTTTATTAGAAAGACAGATATACAGAGAGGAGGAGAGACAGAGAGGAAGATCCTCTGTCCGATGGTTCACTCCCCAAACGGTGGCAATGGCTGGAGCTGAGCCTATCTGAAACCAGGAGCCAGGAGCTTCTTCCAGGTCTCCCACGCGGGTGCAGGGTCCCAAGGCTTTGTGTCATCCTTGACTGCTTTCCCAGGTCACAGGCAGGAAGCTGGATGGGAAGTGGAGCTGCCGGGATCAGAACCAGTGCCCATATGGGATCCCAGCGCGTTCAAGGTGAGGATTTTAGCCACTAGACTATCGCGCCGGGGCCATGGAAAGTCTTTCAAGCCAAATGATTAGAGAAAATAATTTAGGAATAAGGAAAAGAGAAGTTTTCCAACTAACTATGGGAAAGTCAGTCAACTTTATCTCTCACTGCTGAACTTGTTCTGAACTGCAACAAATAAATACAGTCATAAATTCACAAGCAGAAAGAGACAAGAGGAGACAAGAGCTGGTGAGCAACACCAAAGGGCCATTAGAGGCTGGAAACATGACTGCTTTGAGAAAGCTGCCCTGCCAGCTCTTACAGCCAAGGCCATCGGCAGGAACTGAGCCAGCCCACTCTAGCAGAGAACCAAACTCAGAACCTATTTCCTTAAGGAAGGAATAAATGTGAGAAGCAAAGCAGAGGACCTGATTATCTGCACAATGGACTGGTAGAGCTTCTCCAGACCTCATCTCCCTGCCCATGAGTTCAGAACATACTCACCACTGCACACAGAAACGAGTCTCAAGAGACAGAGACCATGTCAGAGAAGGCCAGGCATGGTGGACAGCACACATGACAGGCACAGCTGAAATCGGAGGAGTACATCAAGTCTGTGATGGAAAGTAAGGCCTTGTTCTCGCCTATCTGTTTCCAGAATCTTATATCTGTAAGATATGTCCAAGCAGGAGGCAGCTGGTCCTTCTCAAGAGAAGCCAAATCAGCTTCAGAAGAAATCAAAACCCAACAATTTGGAAGTTTGGTATTGTACAATGAAAAGCTTGCCCCTCCAGGTGATTAGCACAGAGCAAAGCTCACCAGTCCACATTGACAGAAACCGCGCATCAATACAGAGCGTCCTATCGGCTTTTTAAAATTATTGTTTTATATTGTCGTCCGGGAAGCATTTTTACAGGTCTATGGATTTCCCTTTTGCCTTCCCCCTTCTCCGTTCCCTTTTTCCTCTCCCACTATTTTCCTACTTTTTTTAAAAAAAGATAAATGTTAATAAAGAACTAAAGCTCTCTGGATATTTGAGAAAATAACCCAACAAAGATACACTTCAACATAGAAATGAAATTTTTTCAAAACTAGACGTCATTTGAAAAAAAAGCAAAGCAAAGCAACCAGGTTCTTGATGACAACCCATGTACCTTGATGAAATCATGCCCCTCCCTCCTCAACTCCCGATGCCACCTGCCGGGCAGCTGCTCTGTGGCCATCTGTGGCCTTACCTTAGCCATCACAGGAAAGTCTGCTGTGCGGCACTTAGTTAGGCTGCCACAGGCATTCCCCAGATTCAAGAAAAGGCATTGCAGAATAGCCCAGGCTGCGAGCAGAGGAAACCCTGCAAACGAACCTGGACTTGGACTCAATTGCAGGCACAAGTGCTTATTGGTCCATACAATGCCTCCTAGCCTGAGGGACGGAGAGCTTCATGGAGGGGCCATAGGTTATCCAGGAAACCATGTGTGCATCAAGCATTTTTCTGTGGATTGAATACCTAAATATACATGCTATGTATATATGCATGCTAAGATGCAAACACATGTAATATCTTCACTAAAGGGCCTCGTGCGATGACTCGGTAGCTAAACCCTTACTAAGTGCCGGAGCCCATGTGAGTATTTCTTCCAATCCAGCTCCCTGCTTGTGGCTTGGGAAAGCAGTACAGGATGGCCCAAGGCCTTGGGTCCCTGCACATGTGTCGGGAACTCAGAAGCTCCTGCTTCCTGGCTTCAGATTGGCTCAGCTCTGGCCATTGCAGTCACTTGGTGAATCAACCAGCGGACAGATCTTTCAGTCTCCTTCTCTATAAATCTGCTTTTCCAATAAAAATAAATAAATCTTAAAAAAAATCTTCACTGAATTTAAAGTTGCTTTTTGTAATTTGCATTTTCTGTATAATACATTTTATTATGTGTTTTCTTAAACATAGATACCGAAAGTACAGCTAACTTGGGGAGTCATTTTTTTGTGATTAAAATGGGTTGTCATAGCCTTCCGATTGGAAGACTGTCTTCAACTTCTACCATAAATCAGAGAATTTGTGGAAAGCCGTGTCCAGGGGCAGTCAGTCCCTGTGCCTGGTGACTCCAGGAGCAGTCAGTCCCCATGCCTGGTGACTCCAGGAGCGTGAGCACTCTGCTTAGCAGTTAAACCACCAATCTTCCACATCTGAGTGCCCATGCTGGATTCCGGGCTCCGGCCCCTGACTCTGCCTTTCCCCATCGCAGCTCCTGGGAGGCAATTGTTACAGCAGGTAACTGATACCAACGGGGGTGAGCTGCATTACGTTCCTCCTTCCACTTGGGCCATAGCTCAGTTCCAAACCACTGTGGGTGTTTGAGAAATGAACCGGGACTCCCCAACCTTCACCTGGGTTCCACATCCAAACCCCCGCCTGCTTGACTCCACATTTCCATTGTGAGCACGTCAAGTTCACCAAACCTAAATCAGAGTCCCTCAGTGCAGCCCCCCTTATTCCCCCCAGCTCTCCTCCTACTGAGTGCATTATTCTCTCAGTCACTGAGGCTTTGATCATTCATCCTCGTTTCTCTTACTTTTAGTCACACGGTTCTACAGACACGTTCTTCATCAGGTCTACTGCTTCTGGAGTGAATCCGTTCCCATGCATCCCTGTTTCTGGAAAACTGCTCTCTGATTTGAAGTAAGGCTTGTAAGCTGAGGATCTCTAATCTCACTGAGAAACTTGCATGTGACCCAGGTCTGTCTGTCATGGTATCTCATCTCCCTGGCAATGTTACTGGTATAGGTGGTAGATTTATGCCACAAGTAGAACCAACCATTCCTTTCTTGGAATTCATACACAGACACTGTGGTCAATTCCCTCTCCACTAGGATTGCTAACCTGGGAGTACATGAATACATACTACCAGCAAGCACCTTCCCAGTTTTATGCAGGAAGTCTATTAAGTAGAGAGAATGATATGGAACCAAAGAAAGCATTAGCTCCAATTTGGAACAGCAAATTTATTTTATTTGGGTGGCAAAGAGAGAGACAGAGAGGAAGAGAGATGGAAAGAGAGAGAGATTTCATCTTGGGGCATTCCCTGTATGCCCACAGCAGTCAGAGGGGCAATGCCTTAAGCTGGGAACTCAGTCCAGGTCTTCCCCAAATAGGGTGGCAGGACCTCGATGACCCGTGTTATGGCTGCATCAGCAGGAAGTTAAAGCAGGAGCAGAGTCAGGTGTCAAACCCAGGCAGTCAGTTATGGGCTGCAGGTGTCTTAACTGGCATCTGCCGGGTGGGTCAAACACCCACCTTGGAGAAGCAGACCTCGATGACATCAAGTCTGAAGGCAACCATTCCTGAAGTCTGTCCCCTCTCTGCACTTGCCATTGAGATGAGTTGAGTGCCAATATCCTAATTCTACCACTTGCTATTAAGGTGCCACAGATAACCTATGCTAGTTTAATGTGCCTCACTCTTCTCAGCTAACAAACAGGAAATCCAAACAGCACCTCCCTCACAGGGTCCCCTGAGACCTAGAATTAGACAGTGCCAGTGCATTCTGCTACTGTCTGATCTCACTGGAATGGAGGGCCCTTCATCACAAAAAGGGTACCGATGATAGAGTTTTTATTTCCTGGGAGATGTGCTTGGGGTTCTGAGTGCATCCTTCCTCTGCCTTCCCATTAGCACCACCCCACCTGCTGCAGGTGCTGACTCATCTGGCTGCCACATCACTCTGTATGATCCATCTGAGTCACCAGGGTCAGATCACCTGCACTGAACAGATAGTTTTGCTACTCCCACTTCTGCTCCAGACAGGCTTCAAGTGTCCACATGAACTGTGTCATCTGAATTGCCCCTCTCCCTAACTATCATACTGCTCAGCCTGCCTTCTTACCTTTCCCAAGTACATGCCTTTCTAGTTCATGGCCCTCTGCCTCTCCTTTCCCCCACTGCTCTCTCTTGTCCCACCTTTTCCCCTTATAATTCCAATCACCTCCTGATACAAAACCTGCCTTTTCCATGCTGCCTTTTCTAGCTGACATGGCTTTCTCAAATGTTACCCTCTTAGACATTCTGGGTCATCTTCAGTTCTATACCACAGGCCATGACATGCAATCATAGATGATTCTCGATTGGCTCAGATAGTCCAAAGCCCACAGAGGAAGTCACATGTTCAGGTTTCATCTTCTGGCATATTCTGCAACTGGTATCAAGTAAGTATTCTCATAGACTCCAACTGTAACCCTAACTATCCCAATTTTTAAAAATCTGTGTGTTTTTTTTTTAAATGTCTATCAGATTTGCAGGCACTCAAGCTGGTGCTTTGGCACAGTGGACTGGGTCTCTGCTTGTGGCGCTGGCATCCTACATGGGCACCAGTTCATGTCTTGGCTACTCTACTTTTGATTCACTCCATGCTAACGCCGTGGGAAAGCGGCAGAGAATGGCTCAAGTCCTTGAGTTCTTGCACCCATGTAGGAGATCCAGATAAAGTTCCTGGCTCCTCACATCAGATTGGTTCAGCTCTGGCTATTGCAGCTGTTTAGAGAGTGAACAAGTGGATGGAAAATGTTGCTCTCTTTTAGTCTCTTCACTCTGAAATGCTATCTTTCAAATAAACATAAAATAAATCTTTAAAACAAAATTTTTGCAGGTACCTAGTCTTGCAGCACAAATTTCATTTTGAGTGCAACATAAATACTTAAACAACAAAATGAAGCAATGAGATCACTTTACGACATCACATGTCTTTATTACATAAACAGAACATTCCTTGTGGGAACTGGTCCTCAGTGGGCTTCCTTGAGAGAGTCTCCAAAATCTCTAGAAATTTTCTAAGAATGTTTTATGAAACAAACACACTTCCCCCACAACCAAAAAAAAAAGTTTGTGTCTACAATTTCCCTACCAGATTCCTGAGAAAAATAATAGGCTTTTATATTACAGTGTAATACATGTGATACATCAATTTGTTTCAAGATATAAAAACGAACAGATCGATAAAATGCAAGTCTCCTTTTGTTTACAAAGTTCTATAAAAATACATCAAGCATGTTCCTAGCTTGATCCTTTGGCCGCATATTCCAGTTTACCAGAAACAAAAGGGGACAATGCACAAAATCAGGCAACCACATCAGTCTTGCAGCAGTGTTATGTCGACATCATCATGAACACCTTGTAAGAGCAGCTCGCCGGGGTATGTAACAATCTTCCTTCGCTTCGCGGCTTTGAGCGTTCCCACCAAGGCTTCAAAGAGATTGGCGCACTTGTCATCCTGGAAGAGGACCCCAAATTTCACGCTTATCTTCCCATCAGCATCTAGTTGGAGAAAACACAACGTGAGGACACTCAAAGTCTGTTTCTTGTCCTTCTGTATGGGAGAATTACAAAATCTTTAAAACAAAACAAAAAACAACTAACTGAGTTCACCAAGATTAAAGCTGAACACTTTCAACAGTCATAAATTCAATGTAGTCGCTTCCTAGATCTAAAAGTGATTAAACAAATGCCATGGTTTGTATATGCCTTATCTAGACAAAGACTGAATAAGCACTACAAAACATTGAAAAAAGGAAAATATTCTATAATTCCTACTATTGTGGATGAACTTATAATTATCTCTCCTTATCTATTATTATTATTATTATCATGTTAGCTGCAGAACTGATGAAAATAGCAAAACAGAAAATCAGGGTCAAGAGCAAAGTTTCTCTGTGTTCTTACACTCAGAATAGGAAGAGTGACCTAAAAACTTCATTGTCCTCAGCCATGCAGCATGATTACTAACTTGCAACTCTAGCTGGAAGGCCCAGACACCAGTACTTCACAGGAGCCCTAGATTATCTGGTTTGCAGGCCAGTTTTTACACAGCATTTTGCCCAGCAGTTAAGACACCAACATCCCATGAGAGAGTGTTTGTGTTCCATTTGCAATTCTGACTTTCTGGCAGTGGGACCGTGGGAGGAGGCTGCAGGTAAAGGCTCAACCACTTGGGCAGCTGCCACTCACATGGGAAATCTGGAGCGAGTTCCTGGCTCCTATTTCTGGGCCCAGCCCAAGTGCATCCTTCTGCACACATTTTGGAGAATGAAACAGTGGTTCTTTCTCTGTCCCAGCACTCGCCCTTTTCTCCTCCTCCTTTCTTCTGCAAAATTATATTAAAAATTAAATAATCAAGGAAACCTTTGGAGATAAATGTAATCTGAGATATCTCTCAATTGTTCGTTTCAGTGAGCCACCTGGCTGAACTCTTGACCCCTTCCTACACCAAAGCAGCAGGTGCTTCCCTCCCATAGCTGTATCTGTTGTAAAGAGGATGATGTTAAAGAGTGAGAAGAGAAGGGAGAGGAGGAGAAGCCATTACAGTCACAGGAGGACCATTCCTTGACCTGTGCTAGAACGTCCAGTGCCCATGTTTTGTAAACTCCTACAGTAAGCACAGCACTGGAGTCAGACAGAAAGCAGTAGGGAATGACTTTCCAGCTTACAAACAAGTAGCTTCTTCAGTGCCCAGGGGGAGAGAACCACAGTCATCACTAAAACAACAGAACAGGATGCCGTTGCAAAAAGCAGTCTGCAATTGTACAGAGCAGTGTGCACTGAATGCCAAAGGCATGGCAAAGGCAACACACCCTTCAGCTTGGGGGAGGGGGAGAGGAGATGACCCTGGGCTTTAACTTTAGATGGACTTGATGGTCGACATGATACCGGTTCTGGGCTTAAGTGCAACGTGGTGCTTTTTTTTTTAAGATTTATTTTTATTTTTATTTGAAAGGCAGATTTACAAAGGAGAGACAGAGACAGACAGATCTTCCAACCTCTGGTTCACTCCCCAAATGGCTGCAATGAGAGCTGAGGCGATATAAAACCAGGAGCAGCCAGCACACAACTGGTGCCTATATGGTACACCGGTGCTTTCAAGGGGAGGATTAGCCAACTGAGCCACTGTGCCAGCCACCCCCCACACACTCCTAGTCCTCTGTGGACATCTCTGCTACCTTCTGGTTTAGCTCTGTGCATCCTGCCTGAACTCCCTAAATCTCAGGCTCCCCATCTATACAATGGGAATCTTTGTATCTTCCTCAGCCTGTAGGGGAGCAGTTCTAATGCACACTGCACAGGGCCCGGCACACACTGAGCACTCTTTCGGTGACAGTAGGCCATGCGAAGAGTGAGGCCATGGAGCAGAGTGGACAAGCTAGATGCATAAAGAAAACAGGGGCAGCACCATCTGGGGGAGCAGTGGCTAGGGCGAGGCATTGACTGGCAGAAGAACAAAGAAATCTGAAATGGAAACACAAAGAATCTGGCCAGGCTGGGCCTGGAAAGCAAAGACACATCTCCGCGATGCTCCAGCTGCTAGCAGAGTGGCCTTCTGTTTTCAATGGGACTCTGTCACTGAGCAACCTTAGGCTGGTCCACAGGCTGTCTGGGTTTTGGTGACCTCGCTCATCCCCCAACAGAGGGCTTCCAAAATGAACAGGTGCAGGGGTAAAGCCAGCACCCAGAAATGATCAGGTTGATGAACATTCTCAAAACACACAAGGCAAAACTGGGGTGCAATCCTGAGTTCCATCTGTTCCCCACCAACCTGTCAAACAGCCACAAGGCTCCACCTCTCTGATGTCCTCTGCAGCTCTTGCCTCTGCTCCTCCAAGACAGTGCTTCACCTGGATCCCTGAGCACTAATAACTGACACCGCATTCGGGTGTCCCCTTCTTCCGCTTCGCCATCCCCCCACTATATCCTTGCGATTGGTAAGGAACAAAACATGTGGGAGACACTTGGTCAGATGCAAACCCCACTGATACTGTTCTCCTTAAATCTGACAATGGCACCCTATCACCTTCAACACAGGGAACAAGAGAAGTCCACTACCTCACAGACGAGGTTCTTGGTGCTGTGGCCATGTGCCCTTCACCTGCTGCTCTCCTATCCAAGTTCATGTCTGAGCCTTCACAAGGAACTGCTTGCTGTTGCCAAGGTGGCAGGAAACATCTTCCTTATTAATTTTGCCCACACCCCAGACTCCTGTTCCTAGGTAAGTTTTTCTGCAGGAATGGAGTTGGAATTCACCCCTCTAAGGCCTGGTGCAGTCCCAGTAACTAAATCTTTGCCTTGTCAGTACCAGGATCCCACGAGTGCAGGTTTGTGTCCCAGCTGCTCCACTTTCTATCCAGCTCCCTGCCTGTGACCTGGAAAAGCAACAGAGGATAGCCTAAAGCCTTGGGTTCCTGCAAACACATGGGAGACCTGGAAGAAGCTCCTAGATCCTGGCTTTGGATTGGCTCAGCTCCAGCTCAGCTTCCATCTGAACCAGCAGATCGAAGATCTTTCTGTCTCTGATTCTCCCTGGAAATCTGCCTTTCCAATAAAAGTAAAAATAAATCTTACCAAAAAAAAAAAAAAAGAAAGAAAGAAAGGAAGGAAGAAAGAAAGAAAGAAAGAAAGAAAGAAAAGAAAAGAAAGAAAGAAGAGGAAAGAAAGAAAAAGAAAGAAAGAAAGGGAAGTCCCACCCCTGGTTGAGCTAATACCTCTTCTTATAAAACTGAGCACATCTATCAAAGCACTCAGCATGAATTATAGAAATAACAGCCAACAGTTACTGAGTGCTTGCCGTGTTCTGAGAGCTGCCTTATACTTTTCAGTCATTAAAAGTCACTCAATCCTTACTTCATTGAAGCAAAAACACCTCTGATTGGAAAAAGCATTATTATTTCACATTCAACTAAACTGCCAATTGAATTATAGCATACCTTAACCCCCTACGGCTTTGTTTTAGAGATTTTAAAATGGACTTTCTACCATTGTCCATATCTACAACGTCAGAACGCAGTTGGATAGCAAAGGGATGGACTTGTGGCTATTGCTGGAGGACTATCCTATTACAATATGAGGGAAATGAGTGGCAAGGAGGGGGAAAGAGGAGAGTGGAAGGGGAAGTCTCTGAACCCATGGAACTGTAGCATGAAAAATAAAAATTGGAAAAAAACCCACAAAAAGCTATCTTTGATTCACTGAAATGAAGTAGTATTATTACACTATTCAAATCAGGAAACCAAGACACAGAAAAGGAAAGTAACATGCCAATGATTTCTTGGCCGATACACAAAGAATCTGGGCTTCCTGTGCAAAAAGTGTGTTGTAGCTGCCATGTGCCCAGCAACTTGCACCTTGTCTTCCAGCTTCTTCCAGGAGACTCCCAGGGCTCAGATGGAATTTTTGTTTTGTCTTTTTACTTCCCTGACACGTGAGCCCCAAGGGAACATTCAAAAATTCTTGCTGCAGTATTTGTTGACAGAATCTCAATTTCCAAATAATCTTTCTCAATCCCTTGTCACTGAATGGAAAATGAGACTTTAAAGAATTTGACTTTTAAAAAAAAGAGATAAAACTGAACCTGCCCATTCCCAGGGAAAATTCATACATCTTATGCAGAGGAGTCAAAATTGCTCCAGATACAATTTAACTAATTAACCATCACATGTCAGTGCATAACTTCTCTCCATGTGTGATTTTCAGGTCACAGTCATTTTCAGCAGGAAAAAAAACAAACCAAGGTGTCCTGGTGACGCTGCACATGCAAAAATATTTTCACACTTGTAAACGTTAGGATAATCATCTCGAGTCTTCTGGTTTGCTTGCTTTGTCTTGGTACAATAATGACACTCTTCCAGCAGGCTGAGGATTAGGTTAATAACTCTAGGGAGAAATGAATGAAAGTGGAGAAAATCCCACACGTCTTTGGAAATAGAACTTTTAACACTCCAAACACGGCACTGCAAGAACAACATGGCAGGAAATAACAAGACCAGCAAGAGAAATGCACCGGGCATCACTCCTGAAGACAAGACTCTCAAACTCCCATCACATGGAGATGAAGTGGGTCGGAGGAAAGTGGAGTGTGTTCTCCTTCCAAATTCTGATGGCGTACCTCATTAATCCGCCCTCCTCACTCTTCAGAAACTCAACTAAGAGTCAAGGCTTCATGAATGTCACCAACCACAACTTTCAATAATCATTTTCATTGGGTTTGTATTAAATTGAATGTCAGCACTTCAAAGGTCACCATAGCTTCTTTTCACAATTGCCTCACGAATTTTTGTCCAATTTCATTAACAGACTAACAAGATCATTGAAGGAAAGGAACATTTGTCACTTACACTTGCTCAGTGCTTGGGAGATGATAGATAATAGAGATGTGTAACAAATGTTAACTGACTATATGATTCAGTGGTTGAATTCATACCATCTTTTGTATACGTCCTTATCTTGTCCTTGTACATTTCAGTAATGGTAACTCAGGTATGATGTAGAAATAATATATCTAGAGAAAGACTAAAAAGCGTAGATGAAAAAATAATGACCTGAACAATATATTTATGTTCTAAGCTCCAGAATTTGTGATTGTGCTATGAAAGATGGCAAATAGGGATTTTCCAAATCTGATGCAATTAAGGACTCTGGAAACAGGGTTGTGTCCTGGATGGTTCAGGTGAATCGAATGTAACCACAGGGTCCTGAAAAATGTGAGATCCAGAAGAGGCGAGTCAGAGGAATGACTATGACCATGAAGACAGGATGTCATGAGTCAAGGACCAATGGCAGCAGCCAGAAGCTGGAAAGGGCCAGGAAAAGAATCCTCGTCCCTGCGGCCTCCAGAAAGGAACCTTCGGCTGTCTATCGCAGCCTAGCAAGATCCTTCTCCGATTCCCAATCTGTAGAACTGTTACAGATACTTAATGTGTTGGCTCCAATGTGATGGCTCCAAGGAATTTTCCAACTATGTCCTGCTATTTTTAAGGCTTTGTGATTAACAAGCAAAGGAGGCATTAAATAAGGCAAGCCAAGCTGTACCAACACAGTCATTTAATTAAAGCTGTTGTTATGGACATGATGTAGTTTAAAAAAGGAGTCCCAAATCCTTGTTGCTGAATGTATCTATTGCTCCTATGTATTTTTTTTCTTTTTTTGCCTAATTTCTTCTTCTTCTTTTTTTTTTTTTTAAAGATTTATTTATTTGTATTGGAAAGTCAGATTTACAGAGAGGACAGAGAAAGATCTTCCATCCACTGGTTCACTCCCCAAGTGGCCACAATGGCCAATACTGAACTGATCTGAAGCCAGGAGTTTCTTCCGTGTCTCCCACGCAGGTGCAGGATCCCTAGGCTTTGAGCCATTCTCTACTGCTTTCTCAGGCCATAAGCAGGAAGCTGGATGGGAAGTAGAACAGCCAGGATACAAACTGATGCCCATATGGAATCCCGGCACATGCAAAGTGAAGACTTTAGCCAGCAGGCTATCATGCCAGGCCCTGCACCTATATTTTTAAAACACTCTCAACATTCTTGTATATCTTGTCTGAAATGTGCCAAATATCTATAGCAATAATAGTAACTTCCATTATAACTTAGGAAAAAGACACTAACCAATTTTACACGTCACTTTCTTCACAGTTGTTGTCTAGTTCTTGCCAAAGAAAAGGGTGACTTTTAAAAAAATACATATCTCAAGCCTGGTATATTTTATTTCATTTACATGTACATAAATACTTTTTTGTGCAATACTCAAGAATTTATGTGAAATAAAGAGAACTTCATTATCATTTAAGTCTAAGTCATTAGTCATTTGGAAATTTATAAATTGGTGGCTAGATAATGTGGAAGCTAGGAAAACATGAATTTTGATAGCATGACAGGTAAAAAATTTCAAATTCGATTCAACTCCTAGACTTTGACACAACCTAATAAAAGAAATTTGGAGCTGTTATTTCTCATCAAAGGCTGTTCAATATCTCAACCTCTCCCAGCACTGGATTCCCAATATCCCAATAGCTCTTGGTCTCCAGACATCACTGCCCAGCTGTGGGCACTCACTATTCTGGTATGGGCAAAGCTGCCACAAGGCTAGCCTGGGTGATCCCTCGGATCAGAATATCTGACCTTACCACTCTGAGTAAACCATTGAGAAATACTCAGGATTGGACACTTACTTTTTGAACCCAGACGATGAATTTCCTCCACTAAGAGGTTAACTTCATGGTCCACATTCATTGTTACCTGAGAGAGAAAAAGTGAGCAGATATTATGACCATGTCTACATTCCACCAAGTACCTGCCAACCGAAGAGCACTATTGTTCATTGTGGCATCTGTAGCTATTAGCTTCCCATGGACCTCTTGCTTACCATTCCTGTGTGGTGTGTGGGGCCAGTAATGTGTCCCCACGTGTCTTCTACCTCTTAACTCCCTCATTTCCAGGGCAGCAAGCAGGCGGTCATTCTCTTTGCACTCATTGTAAACACCAAACAGAGCTCTGTTGAGCTCCAAAATACAAACATGAGCCACACAGATCTGCCAGCCATCAGAGAATGCACCTTCTGAAAGTCCAGAAAGGCCTAGAACGAATGGCAAGGTGATCTGCCCTCATGATGCTATGTCCACAGCATCGAGGAAGGCTGAGGCTGTCAGGGAAGCCAATGGGTAGAGCTTTTCTGTGCATGGGGAAGACACAGGCCAACTCACCCAAGTGACAGGGAAAACATGTAGTAAGTCTGAGATAAGCCTTGTAATGGGTGCAGGGGATACCAAGACAAATGGCCACCTTTCCTGTCTTTCAGAAGCCTACTGTCTAGTGGAGGGAGCCGACAGAGGTAAAGGCAAATTGATACTGTCAAGTCAGGCAGTGATCACTTCCGCTTACATACAGTGCCTGGTAAATATGATTGCACCAGGGAACTCTTGCAGTAAACAAAACAAAAAACCATGCATCCTTACGGAAGAGCTAGGACACAGATGCAGTTGAGATTTCCCTTGGCTCACTAAGTCCTCCTGGACTTGGGTTATCCATCACTGCTGTTCCAGTACCCTCCCCCTGCGCAAGAACTGTGGACTGCAGCCACACAGGGCTTCTCAGCATCCCTCGAATGCCCTTCCCTCGCATCTTGAGCCTTCCCACACACTGCTTCTTAGACCCAGGCTATCAGCTTGAGGCTAACATCCACACATCCAGTCCCAGCTCAGACACAACTTCCTTCTGGAACAGTTCTGTCCTCCACAGTGCTATGAGCTCTCACTCCTTCTCGAATGCATGGGCGGCTCCTGTGTGCTGCCCTCCCCCATAATGCTCACTGCAGCACCCTCTCTAACACCCAGAGCATAGGTGACTCAAACTTTGGTTTCATGAAATAAAAAGAATAAGAAAAGCCATAGAGAAAAAGAGACATTTACAGCAACTGTGTACACTATCCTAGGAGTTGTTTTCAAATGATACATTCTCCAAATTAAATATAAAGGTACTTCCAAACGCTCATGGAAAATGAAATTAAGGGTCATTGCTGTGGTGTAAGGGGTAAAGCCACTGCCAGCAGCACCAGCATCCTGCTATGGGCAACAGTTTGAATCTCAGCAGCTCCACTTCTAACCCAGCTCCCTGCCAATGTGCTAGGGAAAGCAGCAGAGGATGGCCCAAGTGCGTAAGCCCTGTAGGAGCCTTGGAAGCAGCCATTGTGGCCCTTTGGGGAGTGAACCATTTGAGAAGTGAATAAGAGATTTCTCTCTAACTTTGCCTTTCAGATAAATTAGATTTTTTAAAAATGGAATTAAAAGTTTATTTCGTGCGAAGGAAAATAAATCTGTCCATGGTTTTTATTTTTGAAGACCCCTTGTAAGCATAGATTTCAAAAATCAAAACTTTTTTGGAGCCAAAATAGACTTATCTTCCAAATCTGTTTTCCATGAATTTCTGGAAGTATTTGCATAAGGGACTAAAATAAGTGGGTTTGCATATATGGTTTTCTTTAGAGTACTGACTTGGAAGAAACAACTTTATCCAGATGGATCGTAACCAATGCCTAGTAACTTATGAAAATATGACTGACATCTCTAATTATATACCACCTGTTCAAACAATATTGATTGGGATGCCAGATTGTCTATCAACTAATAATTAAAAGTGCCACTGCCATCTGCTACGCCACTTGTGTGAATATTATAATCTAAGGAGCCTTTGCTATAATAAAGTGCAGAATCTCTAATGAAAGGTGTCTACATAAATTTTATTAAAAATGATAATGTTGAAATATTGGGGACTGCATTGGTGAAATCATACATAAATCATCATGTACCATTCAAAATCTAACTGAAGCAAGACATCAAAGAGCCAACATGTACACAGGGGACACAGCTGAGGACGTGAATGCTAAACCCAGAGAAAAGTGACCTGGGCTCAGATCTGCCCACCCAACATCCTTTCCCCTTGCAGTACCCGCTGTCTAATTTTTGTTTGCATGGAGCCTTTCCTTAAGGGGATGCCTCATTCTGGGTTCCAGAAGCAATGCAGAACCAGAATGAGTATTTAAGCATCAGGTGGATGACCCCATCCAGAACAAGGAAGCTGAGCCCTGGTCTTTTGTGAGAACTGCACTGGAATCGTTGATGAATATTTCCAGGTCTTGATGCACATGGCCACCACGTGCATACCAAGAACAAGCACCAAGAGAAGGGTAGCCAGATCACAAGCACGGAGCCCACGTGCAAATCCTCAATTCTCAGTTTACACGAACATGAAGCTTTCCTTTGCTTCTGTTTATGCTTTTATGCTTAGTTAAGTGTGTTTCAGCTACTTCCACTCTAAAGAATCTTGACTCCTAAGGTTAGTTTAGAAAAGATTTGCAATTCCTTTTTTGTAATCTAAAGTGGTTTTTATAGGTCTTCCTTTATAGATGAATATAATTAAAAGAGAGAGAGAGAGACACACACACACACAGAGATTTGGAGCCAGGCTTTTTTTTTTTAAGATTTGCTTTGTTTTTATTGGAAAAGCATATTTACATAAAGAAGGAGATACAGAGACAGAAAGATCTTGCATCTGCTGGTTCACTCCCCAAATGGCCACAACAACCACAGCTGAGCCAATGTAAAGCCAAGCCGGAAGTCTCTTCTGGGTCTCCCACACGGATGCAGGGTCCCAAGTCCCTGGGCCATCCTACCTTCCCAGGCCACAAGCAGAGAGCTCGATGGGAAGGAACCAGTGCCCATATGGGATTCTGGCATTTCCAGGGAGTAGGATTGGCCAGCTGAGCCATTGCATCAGGCCTTGAAGCCATGTTTTAAAAATTCTATAACAATCAATAATCCCTAAGAAAGGCCAACCTCGTGGTACACACTGGCATCCCCTAAAGGAGGGCTGGTTCAAATCCCAGCTGCTATGCTTTCAACTCAGCTTCTTGTAAGTGCACTTCAGAAGGCAGCTGACGATGGTCCAATTACTTTGGCCTCTACCAGCCACATGGGAGATGTGAGTGGAGGTCTTGGCCCCCAGCACCAGCCACTGTGGTCATTTGAGGAATTAACTAGCAGATGGGAGACAACTCTCTCTCTCTCCTCCCCCCTTAATGCAGTCTTTCCTTCAAATAAATAGTTTTTTTAAAAAAATAAATTTAAAAAAAGAGGGAATGAATGCATTGGGGTGCAGCAGATTAAGTTACCACCTTCAATGTGAACATCCCATGTGGGTGCCAAGTCAAGTCCTGGCTGCTCCACTTCTACTCCAGCTCCTGCGAACACACTGTGGAAAGCAGAAGAGGATGGCCCAGGTATTTGGGCTTCTCTGGCCACATGGAATCCCGAAGGTGGTGCACATCTCCTGACTTCAGCCTTGCCCAGCCCCCGCCATTGTGGCCGCTTCAGGAGTAAGCCAGGAGGTGGAAGATCTTCCCTCTCTCTTTCACAGTAACTGCTTTTCAAGTAAATAAGTAAGTGAAAGATAAGGAGAAAGAGAGGAAGCAGAAATGTAAAGAGGGAGGGCTGGAGAAAGGAAGAGAGGGAGGGAAGGAGGGAGCGAAGGACGGGAAGAAATAAAGCAAAGTGATTAACAATGAATTCAGATTGCACTGAGTCCTTTGATGCATTAAGGCGGAAGCGGTTAGGATCTCTGGGGATGAGAACATTCACCCATGCTGGGCAGAAGGCAGAGTGGAATGTTCAAGATTAATGTCAATGGCCTCCCCTAAGCTCAGGTTCTCTGATTCCCTCTCCCTGAAAATGCAGCAGAGTAACTGAATGGAAGCATGCGTGTGTGTACACGCACACACACACAGAGTGAAAGATCTTTCATCTACTGGGTCATTCCCCAAGTGCTCACAACTGCCAGGGCTTAAAAACAGCAGGTTTAAAAAACAAGCCTGGAACCCCATCTGTGTTGCCCACCTGGGTGGTAGCATGCAATCAAGAATCTAACTGGCATGTCAATATGTGCATTCCAAGTGGCGGTTTAACCCACAGTGCCGCAACATCTCTTTGAAATATATATCTTAAACGTCATTCTCCATTCCTTCCACCCACACTCAACCACACACTTCGGATGTAACATTTCCTTAATAATGAGAATCAAAGAGCAAATTCCATTTACTTGCCAAAGGCTTGCTTGCTTATTTAAAAGGCAAAGCAGGTACAGGTGCTGTGGCTTAGGGGATAAAACTGCTACCTGAAGTGTTGGCATCCTACATGGAGACTGTTTCAATTCTCAGCTGCTCCACTTTTAATCCAGTTCCCTGCCAATGCATTGGAAAAAGTAGTAGAGGATAGCTCAATTGATTGGGTCCCTATACCTGCATGGGAGTCTCAGAAGAATCCTGGGCTCCTGGATTCGGTCTGGCACAGTCCCGGTGTTAAACCCCGGGGGGGGGGGGGGGGAGGCGGAGTGGGCCCAATGGTCACGGAACCCGGGAGTTGCAGCCCAACAGCCCAAGAACCAGGTCAGAGGCTACAAGAAGAAAGAGGACTTTATTGGCATTCGTGAACGGGCCCCTACTCCAACAGCGGAGAGAAGCCCCGAACTCCGGGAGTACAGCCATCTTATAGGCACATACTACAAGCTTAGCATATTTTTGTGACAGGTCTTAAGTTTTATGGCCTTACTCTGACACCAACTCGGGACTTTCTGGGCTCATTTCTCAGGATAAGGAACTTGCTTGTCAGAAACCCAGACCTCCTTCCTGCAGCCAGGCCTGTCATGGCCTTGCTCTTGTTTCTTATTTTGCCAAGCAACATACAGAAGCAACAAAAGCATTAACCCTTACTTTCTTTCTCCGGATACTGTGGCTACTGTGGTCATTTGGGAAGTGAACCAGCTGATGGGTGAACTCTGTCTCTCCTTTCTCTCTGTAACTCTGCTTTTAAATTTAAAAAATCTTAAAATAATGAAGAAAAAAAAAGGCACAGCAACAGAAAGCCAAGAAGAGATAGAGAAAGATCTCTCATTTTCTGGTTCATTTCTCAAACGGCTGCAACATCCAGGAGTTGGCCAGCTCCAAATCGAGAGATGGGAACTCCATCCAGGTCTCTTACATGGGCGGCAGGCATGAAAGAACCTGGGCCATCCTCCACTCCCTTTTCAGCTGCTTTAGCAAGGAGCTGGGTGGGAAATGGAGCAGCTGGGGGCACACAGATTTGAGACGTCAGCACAGCAAGAAGTGGTTTGACACGCTGTGCAGTATCACTGCATTGTGTACAGAAGACACACCTGTATTGTATTAAACAGATGGCCATTCATCCAATTTTAAGAGAAGGAAACCACCACTTTATAATTCCTTACACATCTGGTTCCTTATTCTGTGAAGTCAATGACCTGGCAAAGTACTCATCACTTATCCCCATTAAGCAAATAAATACACAAATAAACACAGTTTCCTCCACATCCTTCCGCCTGGCCTTCCTTTTGATATGCAAATATGCCTAATTTACTAGTGAGCTGCCTCTGACTGACACCTTACAGGCTGAGGACTTGTCAAGAACCACTTAGAGAGCTGGAACCATCTCCACGCTCAGGCCCCTATCAGCTGAAGAGCCAGGCGTTTTCTGCCTTTTGTGATTCTGCCTTAATGGCTTGGCTTGGCGGGGACTGTGTGAACTCCAGGCCTGATAGTCTACAGGACACGTAGGCAGAGGACTCCTCAGGAAGGAGGTAACCTGGTGTTTGATACGATTCACAGCCCAATAGCTCATCGATTTGCACTTTTTGAAAGTTGCTTGTTTCAAACCCACCAATAGAAGCCTGCTAAATCATGACTGTATAAATAATAGCCTGAAATGTATAAGAACTGGGGGGCTTGGGCTCTCTCTCCTTCTTTTTTGGCTCCCACTTCTTTTTTGTCCTCCCTGCTGTTCCTGCAGCAGCCTCAGCTGCGGCTGCCCCTCCCCCAGCATGGCTGAGCTGGGGGAGGTGGCTGGGAGACCTAGGTTAACCTGAATAAACCACCTTTATGCCTTAGCACTGACTTCAGACTTGATGATTATCTTGGGATTTCATAACCCAGCACAACATAGCAACAGGAAAAAAAAAAACCTACAGTTTGCCTGCATCATTTCACATGTTTCATTAGCTTATTTTATCATGTAGGGGAGGAGAGGAACGCGTTCGGAAAGCACCCACTGTAACAGGATTCTGGGACTGCAGCGATCAAGAACAATGAGCAGCCAGGGCTGAAAATCCAGGGCTAACAGAGAACTGGCTCCGCGGGGAGAAGCCGTCCCAGAAGAAAGGAAGGGAGGCAGTGAGGGAGGCGACGGCAGCTGCTGACCCGCCCCTGTCTTTGTCACTGAATCTCATTAGGCTTTGTGCATGGGGATCACAAAGAACTAGGCCTGCAGGGGGCTGCCACCGCCCCTACACAAAAGGCAATCCTTAAGGACCCTTGGAAACAGTCAGTGGACAATCGGCATTGAATCACCAGGCATTTTCCACGAACTTTTCGAAGTCTCTCCGGATCTGTGTCCCCCCGCCCCCGAAAGTTTGGAGACACCACCCACAGCTTCTCTAAGCCCACTGGAGTGGGGGGCTTGGGAATCAGACGCCAGATGGACACACTGGGTGGGGCTAGGCACTTTTTCCAGCTTTCCCCTCGGTCCCCGCCCCGCAGTCACTCGGGAGCAGCCGGCGTGGTTGGACAGCTGGGTTCCTTCCTCCTCCGCTCCAACCGCGCGCGCGCTCCATATACGGTCATCACGGCTCCGCGTGGGGCGTCCCCAAATGCAGCGCCCTGCAGGGTACCCCGCGGTCAGCACCACTACTGGTCACGGATGCCGACTGAGAGCGCCCAGAGAGCCCTTAGCCCGGGACAGCAGGGTGGGATCCCGGGGGGCAGGGGGGGCTGAGTCCCGGGCGCCTTTGTTTGCTGGCAGCGCCGCAAGAGCAAACGCCCCAAACCGAGATGGACACGCGCCCCACTTCCCGATTTCCTTCTGTCCTCCTGCCTGTCCCCTTTGCCCTAACATCGAGGACCCAGAGCCACCACCCCCTCTGGCACCGCAGAAGTCGCTGCCCAGGGACCAGTAGATTCCAGGGGGAGGGGGCGGACATCCTTCTCCTCTGCCCCCTAATCCTGCCCCACCCAGTTCCGCGGGCACCGGCTGGGGAACAGACAGGTCGCACCGCGGTGAAAATCGCGACAGTGCTGCCTGCTTCCCGGTCCGACCCCGGCTGGCAAACCCTCACGTGAGCTGAGTGCGGAAGTCTGCGGGAGAGGTGGGCGGGGGCGAGCGCGCCCAGGCGGGTCCGGCGGCGTCACCTCGGCCCAGCAGGTGTCAGGCCCGCCCGGCTCTCCCCTGGGCGCCGCCTCCGCCGCAAACCCGCTCCCCGCCATGCCCGCAGCTGCCTCGGGGGCGCACGCACCTCTACGCAGCCTTCTCTTTTTGCGGTGAAGAACAGGGCGCCACGTGGGTCCCGACCCCGGCGATCTTCGCAGTGCACCAGAGGGGAAGGAAGTGGAGGTGGCCCAGAGGAAGCCCGCGGTGGAGGAGAGGGAGGAGGAGCGGGCTGGGGGGAAAGAAGTGAAGAGTTTCCTCGCTCAGGAAAGGGGCCGCCCACTCTCCCGAGGACAAGCCTATGAGCTGCAAACTTAGGGGAGGAGACGCGCCAGAAGGGGGCCGACTCCAGACAGGTGGCGGGGCGCGCGGCGCTTCCGGGAACACCCGTCTCCACGGTCCCCAGACTCCAGGTCCCCGGCCCCTGCTTCTGATCCCAGGCCAGGGTTTCTCTCCCTAGGAAGAGCATGACGTTGCCTCTTTAAGTCCAGGAGCGGGAGCCCCCAGAAAACTACCGCTAACAAATCTGTCCTTTCTTGGACAAAGCTTGTCCCTCTTTCACCACATGCTACATTTAACTCCGGAGTTTCATCGTTTATGGATTCTCCTTGTAGTGTAGCCGCTGCCTTGTTCATCTTCACACGTGTGGGGGGGGGGGCTAGGAAGAGAGAGAGAGATGCCTGCAGTTCCCAGAATCCATTTAGAAAGGAAACCCACGACCCCAAATAGAGGAGTGAAGTCAGTTAATACTTGACTGAAGTAAGCGTTATTGCATGACCTAAGAGAACACCAAATCCCCAAACTGGCAATCACTTCGGAGGTGACCTGGATTCCACTGTTCTCACCTAGCAGGCGACTCTCGAATAAAACTGAGATCTTTGGGAAGCTGATGGAATTCTCCCTTGGAAATGGAAAAAGAAAGGACAGAGAACTAAGCCCTCCGAGAGAAAGCTTGAGGCACAGGGCGGTGGTCACCCAGGAGGTACCCCTCCGGGGAACGAGAAACCAGAACACGAAGTCCAAACTGGGTGGAAGCAAAAGTGAGGGAGGCAGCCTCTGAGAGAAGCTGAGAGAGGGTGACAGAGGAGGGCCTGTTTCGGGGTGGCTGGAGTACCTCGGGCTTCGGGCTGTGCTGGATCCATCCACCTTGCAACCTGCCTTCTCCTGGCCCTTTGAGAGTGAAGACCTACCACTTGGGTGTGGCCGAGTGTGTCTTCTGTAAACTTCAGGTGTGATTCTTCATACTGGGTAGAATTTAAGGTAGCACCAACTTCGTTGGCAACCTAAGGTGTTGTATTTTGCATTTTTCAAAGTCTGCATATTGCAAAATCATGGTGCAAGAAAAAAAAAATCACATGTAGCATTTCCATATCAGGACACAGCCCTTTCTGCCTGTCACAGTCATCACATCAGTGGCATGGGTGACGACTGTGTAGTGCTTCACAGTTCTCTGCCAAGCAAATGAAAAGAACCAGGCTTACTAAGCAAGTAGAAGTCTTGGTTAATAGGACAATGGATTCACTATTTAAGAACATGTTTATATAATGTGCTACTTTAAGCATAACCAAATTTATACTAACCTACAAATTTATAATAATCTACATATTAATTAAGAGCTACAAGGGAGTTGTGCTTTAAAAGTTCAATGTTATTTCTATATGGTGAACAATTTACATGCATTTCTTTTTAAATATTTATTTATTGTTATTGGAAAGGCAAATTTACAGAGGGGAGGAGAGAGAGAAAGATCTTCTGTCCACTGGTTCAATCTGCAAGTGGCCACATCAGCTGGAGCTGAGCCGATCTAAAACCAGGAGCTTGTTCCAGGTCTCCCACAGAGGTGCAGGGCCGTCCTTTACTGCTTTCCCAGGCTGCAAGCAGGGAGCTGGAAGGGAAGTGGAGCCCAGCAAGGCGAGAATTTAGCCACTAGGCTATCCCGCTGGGCCCAACTTACATGTATTTCATACACACAGATCTAGGGGCATGGTGATGACAGTTTTTTTTAAAAATATTTATTATTGATTCATTTATTTAAAAGTCAGAAATATCTGTTGGTTCACTCTCATTGTTCATTGCAGATGGCTGCAATGGCTTGGCTTTGGCCCAGTTGAAGCCAGGAGCCCAGAAATTAACGTCTGTCTCCCCCATAGGTGGCAGGGACCGTTTCTCAGCCATCACCTGCTGCCTCCACAGGGTCTGCATTGCCAGGACACTGGAATCAGAAGCAGAGCCAGGATCCCCTGCAATGGTTCTATCAGCCAATCCCCTCCCCGGATGTGCCGGGATCCCATATGGGTGCCAGTTTGTGTCCCAGCTGCTCCACTTCCCATCCAGCTCCCTGCTTGTGGCCTGGGAAAGCAGCAGAGGACGACCCAAAGCCTTGGGACCCTGTGCCTGCATGGGAGACCCAAAAGAATCTCCTGGCTCCTTGCTGGGGATCAGCTCAGCTCCGGCTATTGTGGCCACTTGGAGAGTGAATCATCAAATGGAAGATCTTCCTCTCTGTCTCTCCTTTTCTCTGTAAAATCTACCTTTCCAATAAAGGTAGGTAACTCATTAAAAAAGAAAAAAAAAAAAAAGAAGAAGCTGAGCTGGTGCTGGAGTGCCACATGGAGTGCAGACAGCCCAAACAGCATGCCAACTGCTATGCCAAACACAATGCCATGAAAACTCTTTCTGATGAAGGAAATACTAAAAATTCTGTCAACTAACCTTTTCATCTACAGTCTTCACTCCTTCACTCTCCACAGACTCTTGCCATCTTTTTTTTTTTTCAGGAATATTATCATTTACCTACAATATAAATAATAGGTTGAGAGTCTAGCCTGAAAAATAAATAATGGTGTTTCATAGTTAATTAGTAGTTATTAAACAAAAGGGTGTGCTAGTACTGAAAAGTACACAGCAGTCTATGAGATGAGCTTTGCCCAAAAGAACTTACAGTAATGTCCATACAAAATATTAAGACAATATCCATTTCTTTAACTATAGGGTGTAGGCCAGCGCTTTCCAATAGAAATATAGTTGTGAACCACACGCCATTTAGAATTGTCTAGTAGCCTCATTACATTTTTATACTAAACAGTTTATTTACTTGAGAAGCAGAGAGATGAACAGAAAGATGAGGCATAGTTCCTATCCACAGATTCACTGCCAGAAGCCCACCACAGCGAGGGGACTAACGCAAGAAGACAGGGACTCAAGCCCCATGTCTGGCGCAGGTGGCTAGGACCAGGCCCCCGAGCCATCACCACTGCCTCCCAGAGTCCACATCAACAAGACGCCAGAACCTGAGTCAGGTGTTGATCCCAGAAACTCTAACATAGGACACGGGCAACCTAACCCTCAGCGAAACCGGTAGTCAAATGTCCTCATCTAGGCTTCGTACTGCAAAATTCTTTGAGAAGGTAAAATTAGCTTGCTAGTATGTTTTACTTAACTCAATATATAGAAAACACTATCATTCCAAGCAGTAACTGACATGTATAAAATATTAATAATTGTTAATGATAATTATTAGTTGTTTGTAATAATAAAACATGTACCTCCTATTTTTCATGCTAGGTCTTAGAAAAGTTTGTATACATTTCACACTCATAGTATATTTCAGGTGCTCAATGGCTTCATATGATTAGCAGCTAACCCTATAAGTTAGCTTTAGGCAAACCTAGAATAAAAAATATGATATTATATGCTAACAACTTTTACCTAAGAAAATCCCGGAATGGGAAAAAAAGACAATAATGTGATACTTAAAAATAGAAAGCTGCAGAAGTCATGTTAAAATTGCTATTATCTCCATCATATTGAATAGGAAAAGAAATGTGTAGAATCTCTAGGATGACAATGCTGTCCTGGGTGTACACCTAAGAGAAACAAACACATATTCACTCACAGACAAGCACAAGAGCACACAGGGCAACAATGTTCCCATTTCTAAACTAGAGTTACTCCACTTCTAACAAGGTGAGATTGCATTAATAAATTGTAGCATATAGGAGTGATCCTTTAGCCTAGCAATTAAAATGTCATGCCCTCCTTCACTCTACCTGGAGGAGATTCAAGTCACTGGCTCCTGATTCTGACTGCTCACCAAGGCAAACAGAGCCTAACAACAGTAATTGGATTCCCACTAATGACATGAGATATCTAGATTGAGTGCCAGTCTCCTGACTCCAATCACAGCTCATTCCCACCTGCTGCAGGTATTCGAGGAATGAATTGGTAAGAGTGCATGTTCTCTCTCCCTCTTTCTCTGAGTGTGTGTGTGTGTGTGTGCTTCTCAAATAATGAATTGTTAAATTGTGCCATGTGGGCCAACGTAGTGGCCTACTGGCTAAAGTCCTCACCTTGTACACGCCGGGATCCCATATGGCCGCCAATTCTAATCCTGCCAGCCCTGCTTCCCATCCAGCTCCCTGCTTGTGGCCTGGGAAAGCCATTGAGGGTGGCCCAAAGCCTTGGGATCTTGCACCCATGTGGGAGACCTGGAAGAGCTCCAGGCTCCTGGCTTTGGATCAACTCAGCTCCAGCCGTTGTGGTCACTTAGGGACTGAATCATTGGACAGAAGATCTTCTCTGTCTTCCTCTCTATATATATCTGACTTTGCAATAAAAATAAATAAATCTTTAATAAATAAATAGATTGTGCCATGTAATAGTATGACATATTATTTAGCAATGAGAATGAAACAATAACTACCTACAACATGATGATCTCACAAATACAGTACTGTGTGAAAAGATCTTGACTATTATTTTACAGAAAGTTTTCAAATCAAACTGATTCAAAATGCTAGAAGCTAGGATAGTGGCTGTCCTTGTTTGTTAGTAGGGGAAGGTGACTAAGAAGGGACACAAGAGGGCTGTGTCAGGTGTTGATAATGTTCAGCTTCTTTTTTATTTTTGAAGATTTATTTATTTTCATTAGAAAGGCAGATCAGATATACAGAAAGATCTTCCAAATGGCCACAACAGCCAGAGCTGAACCGATTTGAAGCCAGAATCCAGTAGCCTCTTCCAGGTTTCCCACATAGGTACAGGAACCCAAAGACTTTGAGCCATTCTTGACTGCTTTCCCAGGCCACAAGCAGGGAGCTGGATGGGAAGTGGAGCTGCCAGGACACAAACCAGCACCCATATGGGATCCTGTGCTTGCAAGCTGAGGACTTTAGCTATTGAATCATAGTGCTGAGTCCAGTGTTCAGATTTGTGACCATTACACAGGTTACATAGGTGTTTTATTT